AAACAGGGGGTAAAACGGGTTAGCAGGATGTCATATGCTCTGAGAGGTGTGTGGTCTACTCGGGATTACAATCACTTCTCAATATCCTGCGCTTTATATGAAGTTTTACTGTTGTCGTCATCGTCATGTCCCTCAGAGCATTTTATGACTGTACCTTGATTGTAGAAGCCCTATTTTATACTGAGAGTTATTTCAGAATACAGTATGTGCTGTTGTACATTCAATGTATTGTAAGGAGAAAGCTAAATAAATGCAGTTTAAAACAAATATCTTGATTGTGTTTCTTGCATATCTATAAAGCATATAGGCTGTCTCAGTACAATCTAAGATTTTTTATCTCAGATTTTTCTATTTTTCTTACATTTATTCAAAAGACCCTTGTAGGTATTGCAAGTCTATTGAATATAAAGGTGACATCAAAGGTGCATTGTGTAACTTCTCTGGTGGAGGGTCACTTGGTTGTTTCTACGAAAATGTTGTTGCTCTGGCTGGAATGTTCCACAGTATGACACAGGTCTACTTTACTTTTATTAAATTACAGGTGGTTTTATAGCTCAAAAATACCTAGAAAAACAGGCATTATGGCGGTGAGCGGGGTCGCCTCTCCACAGATCTGACCTGTAATTTGGTCTGATTTGATCTCCATGAAGATAGAAAATGTCAGTACCAAACTGTGAAACATTCCAGACAAAGCAATAACATCTTCATGGAGAAAAGCATTGGACAGACTCCACCAGAAAAGTTACACAATGCACCTTTATACAATATTAATACTACTACTACTAACTGAATCCAAGCAGATGCTCCTACCTATGAATGTCTATTAGAAACATTTTTTAGGTACCGGCATTTAGTTTGTAGCTGTAACATGAGAAATAACCACTAGAGTGCACACTTGAATAGATCCACAACTGGGACTAAAATGTTAGAATAAAACATATTTTCCTAGTAATTTGTGGAGACATTTCATAACATTTTGAGTTGGCACTTTTTAAACTGTGCTTTTTTACTTCCTGACAAAATATTATTGTTTTCTATTGTAGATCCTCCCTTCTGAGAGGTTTCTGTTATGTCTTTAAAGTAACAGGGCATGTGTTAATATATGACTGTCAGGTTTTAGTCTCTTTAGAAGTTACCTTTCCATTGTAAAGGTTATAAATAAAGGTCATAGTATACTTCAGTTCAAAGGGTTGCATCTGGACATCGTTTCAAGCTCCATATCACTGACCTATTTTTTTAGCTTCTTCAGAATATCATCTATAAACTGCCTTAAATGTCTTCCTACTTTGCAAAGCTACTTGTCGTAAATTGTTCAAATGGGGGATTTTGGTTTTGGGTCAGAGAAATTTGTGAGGAATTTTGGAGGTTTTTTTGCCTCCATCTGTGCTTCATCAGACAGTGGCTCCGAGCCCATAGTGCCAGATGACAAGGCTGGGTTGGACCTGCTGAATCACTGCACACTCACAGTGGAAAAATCTCTAGGTTTGTCTCTCTGTCAATAATATTTTACTACTTAGGCTTAAGGAGTATCATTCATGCCCTTGAGGAGAGATGCTATCACAAGATATCACAAAAGCCCTCCTCCTCCTCCCCTACTATTTCTCTTGGAACACAATTTTTCCAAATCAACTATTAATATGATTTGTGTAAAAATATTAAGCAATAAACAAATATTAGTGTGGTCATGCGCTCAAAAAAAATACACAGTTGCTAATATGCCTATGAATAAGAAGTGAATGCCAACATGAACTGTTCCTAACTTGGAATAGTGAAAATATAGGCTGGGATCAAACAGAAATCCTTGATAAAAGGGTAAATGCTTTAGTTAATTTAGTTTTGAGCCTGTTAAATCACCACCATTACTGCTACAACTAATAATAATTTGTTCTAAAAAATAAAGATGAAATAAAATATGTTTCATTATGCATTTTGAATAACAGCACTCCTTCTCCACATCTTTAGCACAGTGCAGTTCAGGAGATGCACAATTCACATAGTTATAAGACTGTTTCCATTTGTACCTAGTGAGCCTGCTGCACTCTCTCACTTCTCCAGTCCCCCTCTCCTCTCCTGGTCCCTCCCTCCATCTGTCGTCATTGTTTCCTGCCGGGGAGATGCTGACGCGGGGGCCGAGGCTACAGTGCACATACTAGTAGTGAATATTGGCCGACATATGCTGACCTGAAGGAATATGCTGCTCAAAATAAGGAATGATGTCAGATTAAGGAAAATATAGGCAAGGCACTGGAGAGGTTTAGTCTGTGTGGTCTGTTTGCCCCTCAGACAAGAGATGGGGTGTGAGGAGCTCTTGGCTTCCCATTCTACAATAAAAGTGGATGCTTGTATAGTTGCACTTTTTAGTCAGATTTGTAAATGTTTGTAAAAAAGTTTGTTTAAAAATGAAGTACCCCAACTCGTTAGTGTACTTTTGTAGGCATTCCTAATTTGTGTGTTGACTTCCAAAAGTGGGTCAGTTTAAATGTTGAGTTGTTATATTGGTAAATGGTCACATTTTTCTATAGCGCTTTTCCACCTTCAAGGCACTCAAAGCGCTTTACAACAAGGAACCACTCACCCATTCACACACACATTCACAGACACTGTGGGCAAGGTGGGTTAAGTGTCTTGCCCAAGGACACAACGGCAGCATTCATCTGTGGGAGCTGGAATCACACCAGCCAACCTGTGGGTCAGTGGATCTGACCACTCAACCTGTGATGTTTATGTTGAGAGCTGGATTTGAACTGCCAACCTTCAGATCAGTGGGCGAATGCTCTACCAACTGAGCTACTGCCGCCCATTACATTATTATATTTTTTAGAATTGCTGACTGTACAAAGTGATTAGTATTAAATCTCCAAAATGTGGAGAATGACATTCCAGTAATAATAACCATATACAGTAGCAGTTCCAACAGTTTTAGTTAAATAATTATATTATTATGATCTCTTTTGCAAAAGTGATCTGGCCAAGAGACAGCACATCTACTATATACATTTAATTCAAAGTCTTACTGTGGTAGACTTTTGCCATTAGAGACATTAAGATTAGCCTACAGTATAGATACTGGCTTTGTAGAAGTATGTCTGTGGTCACACAGATTCTGACTTGGAAATTATATTATTTTCATTATGAATTCTACTTCTTGCGTCTGTTTGTGAGGGCTGAGTAGCATATGAAATCATGCATGAATTAAACATAAATCAGATCTAACTGAATCAGCACTAACTGGAGCTGATTTATTCATTACAAAAGCTTATAGAAATACGCTGAGTTGGCAGTTGTGTGTGTGTGTTCCTTGTCCTAGAGCTATGACAGTTCAGATGGCAAATTGATGAGCAGTAGACCGATGAATGGCAAAGAAAACACCAAATCAACGTTACGTGTCTATCATCTGCTCGATCACTTCTCTGCGCTCCCTCCTATAGGCCCCTTCCCCGTCTGTTCTTTTTCCCCCTTAAGGGTCTAAAGCTGACTTCTCAACACCCCGAGGAAAGAATGACAGGACGCCACAGAGATCAGATGGAAAGCCCAGATCCACCAACCAAAACAAGTCCAGGGCTGAAGAAGAATTTGTGCTCTGCTGTCTGTCTGTTTTCATTTTCATTCACTTTGCACTCTGCTATGATTAGTTACACTGTTTAGTTTACTCCCTCCATGTCTTCCTCCTTAAGATGGAATTCAGCCCCTTGTATTGCCTCTCTGTGGGGTCAAAGATGAAGAATTTATTTTAAGCTTCGCAAGAATATTAAACATTGACATAGCCGCATCCATTTCTCTGATGAATTAACCAGGAAAACCAAGGATGACATACTTTTTCATTGTAAATTTAAAACTATGTTTAAATTAACCTAATGATTATTTGATCATTTGCAGAGAAATAAAATCTCAACCTCACTTAGTTCTGACAAAGTCTTAGATCTCAGGACAAAAACAAAAGTTTACCACAAAGATGTGGCTAACAAAATGGAAGGACATAAAGATATAAAATGGTCAGTCTAATCATGCATACCACAATCAAACTAGCTATCAGCTTTGGATGACATATTTAAGTAAAAGTACAGATACAGAGACAAAAAAGTTACTCCAGTAAAAGTAAAAGTATCACATAAGAAAATCTACTTAAGTAACAGTATTAAAGTTCTGTTTAAAAATGTACTTAAAGAGTAAAAAGTAAAAGTAAAAAGTATTTTGCAGAGATTTTTACAATTTAAGGATGAAATGTAGTGATTTTGCTAAAGAATTTGGTTGATTTTAAGTGATTCAATTGATTTCTTAATCAATTTCATTTTGTTTGCTCGAAGTTGGGACAATAACTCAAATTAAATGTGCTAAAAATAAAGTCTCGGCCATTTCAACAGGTCTCACACATAAAGAAAAGTACTTTTTACTTTTCAGTTGAGATCTGAAATGTAGTGAAGGAGAAAGTACAGATACATGCTCTCAAATGTAGTGAAGTAAAAGTAAAAAGTATCCACTGATAAAGTACAGATACCTAAAATTTGTACTTAAGTATTGTACTTTTACTTTTGTACTTCGTTACCTTCCACTGCTGTCAATTATAAAGTATTCCTGCAAACCTTTGTTTTCTTGTTGCTTAAGTTTGAAATGGCAATATGACATAAACAATCAATGCAAAATTAACCAGGAGGCAATAAAACTCAGACTTCCCTCGTAATCCCTCATAAGGAGAGGCACCTCCTCCAGTCGTATCTTACCCGCATGTTCTTGCCCGTGCCTAAACCTGGCTGCACCTGTCCTGACTTGTTGACCCAGCTGAATCTGCCCCCCTGTCCTAAATGTTGTTTTTTCAGCTGACCACATCCACAGGACACTTGGGAGCCCACTCTTTTGGTTTGTCTAGATAGCTGGTTTTGTCTCTCTGAACATCACCTCTCCCACCCTCCTCCTTGTCCTAAAGCTTTTGCCCCCTCCCACTTGCATCTAGGTCTAGCCCTGTCTGACAGAGTGGAGGAGCCACAGATCTCTCTACAGCTGGAGTCAAGACCACATGGGAAGCTGAGGACAGTTTAAGACAATACTGGATAAGGACATATTAGAAAAAACTTCACTTTTCACTTAAGGATTGTGCAATTTGCGAGGATGAAATACCAGACTTTGCTTGCATTTGTGGTGGTCTTATTTTGTTTACTGCTGGTGCCTCAAGGTGGAGAGACTGCAGGGGGGATTGTGTCTCTCCATCACCCCCCAGAGGAAAGCAGGACGGGGGTACAGCTGTTAGACAAGTCCCCAGATGAACCTCAGACTGACCAACTAATGGACATTGGTCTAGCAGACACACTTAAGACAGGTGAGCTAAACCACACAGCAAAAGCATTTGGCATTCACCTGAGGGCGACTAATTCATTCCAGACAGCATCCTGGCAGGTGACTTTTACAGCACGGAATCTTTCCATTATCTACAACTATGTTCAACTGTTATTGCTTTGTCAGATTTTATGTGCACTTCCAGTAGTTTTTACAACCCTTAAATCAATTTACAACACAGTATATTGTTCAAGCCCATTTTATCAATACTTTTCTTGGTAGTATGTAATTGTTGGGGTGCCACTGAGTTTGGGATCAATATCACTATATCTCAATGTCACTATATCTCAAAGAATTAGAATTAAACAAGGTGGAAATTTGAAGTACCTCAGTGGTAAAGTCTGCATTCATTGAAAGGTATTCTGACACTATAGTGTGATAAAAGTTTTAGGTTTTTTTTAACCAATTATGACTCAGTAGCTTATCAGGTTCTTCCATTGCTTTTTTTGCCAATGGATCTTTATGTATATCTGGCCAGTCATGTATTTTTTGACTTTCAATCCCAACCTCTTGATAGATTTATTAGTTTCTATGAAGATTCGAACTGTGATAAAAATCTTGGATGATGAAGAAAATAATATTATGGAAATTTGTTGGATATTTAAAAAAATGTTTGCTCTTTCTTTTTATTAAAAAGCAGTGTGAAATTCATTATGGGATTGCCTCATCAAATAATTTGGCCCCAGTTTGCAGTGTTTTTTAAAAGACAGATGCCCTTCCAAACACAACCATTTTCATTTACTCTGTCTTGAAAGAGAAAAGCAGCTGTAAGTGTCAACATTAATAATCATTTTAAAAAAGTTTATTGAAAATATATCTTCAGTCAGAGTAAGAAGAGCACCAGAAGAAGGCAAAAAGAAGAAAAAGGACAAGAAAAACAAAAACAAAGACCCCAACGCTACAAAAAAACCCAAAACAGAAAAGAAGGGCAAGAAGAAGGAAAAGACAACTACCACTCTTCCCCCGACGACAACAGGTGAGGACTGGGCATTAGATCAGTGGGTAAGATGTCCACATAAATTCAGATCTAACGACAGTGTTGATCTTGTGTCTGGTGTGTGTAGCTATTCCAACTGAGCCTCCCACACAGCCAGAACCCTACACTGACTACCCCTATCCCGATCCTGGTGAGTGACATAGGCATTCTTCAGAAAACTAGTGCCTGGTTTTCTTTATTAAAGTGTGGAGTAGTGTTGTGGCCAAGACAACAAGGACTATAAACTGTGAAAATTTGCAGAGCTGTAAGCAGAGCTAGTAAGTAATGAGGTACATTTTCCAAATATTAGTTTTACTGCATGATGCTTTCACTTCCAGCTCAATAATGGCAGTCCAAATAACTATACTCTTACTAATGAGAGAGAAAGAGAGAGAAAGATAAGTTATTGATCCCAGGGAAAATTCAAGTTTAAATTAATGTGCTTCTAAGTTAGGCTGAAGGTAAAAATTGGCATCCAAAATAAACTGATTTGTGACTAAATAGTGTCCCTTCTAAACTAGATTCCAGATTTCTCTTTGCTTGAGAAGTAAAAATAGATTTGACGGTGATGTGTAACTTTTCCTTCTCTTACGTTCCACTTTGTCAGACAACGACTATTGGAAACCAGATGATGACTACTGGGGGGCTGACACAACCCCGTCCCAACCACAGACCGAGGTCCCCATTACAGAAGCCCCCATTACAGAAGCCCCCATCACAGAAGCCCCCATCACAGAAGCCCCCATCACAGATGACTTCTGGAAGCCTGATGACTACTGGAAACCTGACGAGCCTGAACCAGAGCAAACTGTGACTGATGGATATGATGACTACTGGAAACCTGACGAAACTGACCCCTATGGCCCAGTGACGGACAGCTACGATGATTGGAAAGAGCCGGACCCGACCCTTCCCCCAGATGTGGATGGGAACACCGGCACAGATGATTACTGGGATGCAAGTTAGTATATCTATCTAAGTATGTGTATACTGTATCTAAACATATCTTTCGGATCTATGACATATCCTACTGGAAGCTATATATTTCGCACTTCTTATCATTTTAGTCAATCACAACAGTTTTACTACTAATTGTTTCTACCTGATTTTGTCCTGAACACTAGATTTATATTTTTATTTTCTTTTTTTTACAGTTGAGATCCCTGATAATTTCCCTGACCCAGATGGCAAAGAAGTCAGCCCAGAAATAAAAGTTGAAACTCTCACAGGTAACATTTCTCACACCTTTAGAAATGTATCTCCAGATTTCACGTGGACCTTTCGACTCTGTGGACTTTTGTGACGCAGATAAAATGTCCTTTCCATTTGTTTTTTAAAGACTGGAGCAGATGAGTAGTAATAGTAGTAATTTATAGGGCATATGGGACTTGCATTATAGTGTCTGAGTGAGTGAACCAGGCCTACTTTCATAGCTGGGGAGTGGGTGGTTTGCTTTGGCTTTGCCTTGTCAACAAAACAGTGAAATTAAAAAGCGCTTGTCATCAGTCTACTCCTCTGTTATAAATGTAAATTAAATATTTAACAACTTAATTAGACGATGGGTGTAGCAGTAGCGTTTACATCCGTCTTAATGTAAAGCAGATGTTGTGGCTTTAGTAAATTAGAGCTATAACCTGTAAAACTTTGCAGATTAAACATGTAATCTCCTCAAAACTCTCCTTTATATTTGTCTTAAAGAAAGTGACTGACAATTGACCTGGTTTCATGTTTGTTTTTGCAGAAGAGCCCACTACCATAGCTCCACATGAGGGGACCTGGTATGACGACTATGAAGACTATGGTATGAGTATGTACATAAACACAAGATATTTAATTATATAGTGTACAGTATCACATAGTTGAGGATGGAGAAACAAAAAGAAGATAGCCACTCCCAGGTCAGATGGCAACATTTTGTTAGTATAAAACAAATTATTACAAAGTGTAATTAGTAGGTACACATGATTTCTAATCCATATTATCTTTTATTCTAATCCTAGACCGTGCAGAACTATTTTGTGTGGATTTTATGTTCTCCACTAGTTACAACGCCATCTACTGACAAATAAGTAGTTGTAGCAGTAATAAAGTACTCTCAGTTGAAAGGACTAAGAAACTGTAAGAAAATTTAAATGGCAAGTATAAAATACATATTGATAAGGTTCAACATATGTGGAGTTCCCAGTTGGAATATTTCTTCCAAAAACAGTCAGTTTGCCTTATACTGGCACCTGACCTCTATTTTTCATATATTGAATTTCTTAATTATTGACTGCATTTAGTCCAAAGGAAAAATAAGAGAGGGACAATATGCATTCACAGTATATAAACATACAGTTTCTTATCCCTTAATAATTACTGTGTTTTTATTTTGTGCTCAGGGAAAAAGGAGACAGACAGTGAGACAGACTCAAAATGGATGGAAAAAGAACGAGAGCGAGCGGAGAAGGAAAGAGAGAGAGAGGAGAAGGGTAAGGCAACCCAGATGTGAACTTTTTGTTGCATAACACAGAATTCATAACTCCTTCAACAATCATGTCAGACAACATATGATACTGTAGTTGCTAAAGCAAAGAATGTGGCCTTTGACCAGAGTGGTAAAATACAGCAGATAACAGCTTTAGTATTATAGCTGTAAACTTTAATGTAAGGTGATCCTCCATTCAGACAAGAGAATGCAGGTTAGGCTATGTTAAATACAATATATGTTAAATAATACAAATGTATAGAAAATAAAACAAAGAGTTCAAGACACATGAAGACCATGTTATTTTAATGTGTTTATTTAGGTCCTTGGCCATGCTGTACTACCAATAGCCATGCAATATTGTTTTGTCATGGTTTTTTTGGAGAAAGTATGCTTATGTACACTGATAACTGTAAAAATATTATATAAACAGTGTGTATAAAGCAAAAACAAAGCATTTATTGTGTGTGTTGGAGACATGTATTTGAGAAAAGCCAGGTCAATACTCTGCTATCTCCACACAGGAGATTAGTGTGAGTGATAGGGATGTGCAGCAGCCGGGATAAATTAAAACTAACGAAATGGGACAAGATACAAATGCAGTGATGTTGTAACTGTATAATCCTGATCACAGCTCTCCACTTCACACATTTGGGTTTTGCCACGTGTCAGCCCTTCTGTGTGTCAGGCAGGGTGAGTGAGTGCAGTGATGTAGTTTTAATATATATGAAACTTTTAGGATGGGGTCAAAAGGTCATTTCCTGTGAGTTAGGTTCAGTGCAAGTGTTAAAGGTGACATTCATTTGCAGCTTTTGTTATTTTTTTTTCAATATTGTGTGTCACATCAAAACAAAGCATTCTGCTGGGCAAATGTTTTAGAGAATTGTGAACATTTAAAATAGTGACTGCCAGTAAAGGACTAGGGTATCTAACTATACACACACAAAATATGTGTTAAACCACTTCATTATGGTGAGATATAGAAGATGCATGTCTCAAAGGGAAAAAGACATTTACTTCTTCTCATTTTGAAGATATTTAGTTATATGTCAGGAATAGTTATGTTTGATTATATGTAGTATCAGTACTTTTGCACCATCTGTGGTCTCTGTTTTTTCACTTTTAGTGTGTCTTTTTCTGATTTAAGACTTATTTACTTACATTTTCCAAATATGTACCATTATCACTTTATGTTGCCAGGCTATTGAACAGACTGATTAAATGTGTTATATTGATAATGGATTAGATATGGCAAGCCTGTAATAGTATCAAAAGCAACAGAAAACGCACACCAAGATTCCTGCAGAGGTGCAAATGCAAGGAGCAGCCAGATCAGGGTGAAAAAATGCATAGCACACTCGGCTGGCCGATGTCCAAATACTTTTTTATTAACAAAAATAGAAAAGCACTCAGAGAGCGCAGACCTCCGCCAAGGACTACCCCCATTTTTTATATAAATTGCGATAAAATCAGTCTTCTGGATCAGATCCGGATCAGCCTTTGGAATATGAAAGAGGATCCCATTGTCCATCCCTGAGTCAAATTTCATGGGGTTTGGTCAATAATTAACCGAGATATTGAGAAACAAAATTTTTGGCCCCATTTACCACAATGTTAACTAAAATTTCAAAGTGATCCAGAATCCAGGATTTCTTCCGGATCACCCCCAAAATGAAATCAGTTCTTCATTTTCACATTTCCAACAAATCCTGAAAATTTCATCAAAATCGGTCCATAACTTTTTGAGTTATGTTGCTAACAGACAAACAAACAAACAGACAAACGCCGGCAAAAACATAACCTCCTTGGCGGAGGTAATAACGTTTTGGCAAAAAAAGCCTTCATCAGATATTTTTTTCTTGTCTTGGACCACTGTGGTCCAAGACAAGAAAAAAATATCTAAAAATATTTTGTTAATAAAAAAGTATTTGGACATCGGCCAACCGAGTGTGCTATGCATTTTTTCAAGCCTGTAATAGTAACCATGATTTTGCATGCTCTGAATGTAATCTGGCTTGGAGAAACATCTGGACTGGTTTTACTGTGATTCATTTTTTCAGCCAAGAAGAGAATATTGATTGAATAAATATGAGGACATACCTCAGATAATTTGTTTAATATTTTAATTTCAGAACGATCTAAGAAACTAAAGGAGGCAGAGGAACGTGCCAGGAACAGACCACGGATCTACAAAGAGCCAAAAAGTAAATCACAATTTCCTCATGTATCAACAACAGATTTACCAGTTATATTGATATCTTATTTTAGTCTGTTAATTTCTGTTTTCATCAGTATGTCCTCCATTGGGCATGGAGTCCCACAGGATTGAACCAGATCAGCTCTCTGCCTCCTCTGTGTCCCAGTACAGGTTCTCGCCCCAGAGGGCACGTCTCAACATGCAGGTACCCCCTCCACACATACCCTGTCCTGGTCTGCTCTGTGCTCCTGACTGAAGCCATCACTTACTACTACTGCCAAGGCTCCAAATAAACACTAGTTGCAAGACACATGTTGGAAAATAATTATTGTTATTCCTGAGCCAGTCGGTTTCATTAACTCTATGTCTATAGTAATTCAAGAAAGACTTTAGGAATGACCCAACTCTATTAACTATTATACTAGGATCTAGGCTAATTCTCCCTGTATTATCTAAGCATGTAGTCTAGACTGCCTGGAAATTAACTATTACTAACCCGGTAAAAATGATCTGTGTAATACAACTTGAGCAAATAAAACATTTATAAGTACTATATTGACCTATATTGTACACTGTGTGTCAGCCTTCACATTGTATTAATTATACTCAAACTGTTTTATTTCATCTGGTCTATGTGGTTCCCAGGCCTCCGATGACGAGGACAGTATGAGAGGTGGAGCATGGTGTGCGAACTCCGATGATCGAACGCACTGGTTTGAGATTGATGCTCGAAGAGAAACAGAGTTCACTGGGGTCATAACACAGGGAAGAGCCTCTAATAATGAGTAAGAGCTTACACAAACACTTTACATATACAGTACACATACATTCTTGTATGTAGCTAGACAACCTCTAACTTAAAGGTGCACTATGTAACTTTTCGGTTTGGGGTCTGTCACCTCATCGCTTCTATGGAGATGTTATTGCTCTGCTTAGAATGTTCCACAGTGTGGCATTAAACAGATCTACATTACATTTACCTCTCCACAGATCTGACCTGTAACTTGGTCTGGTTTGTCTCCATGATGATAGAAAGGTTTAATACCATACTGTGAAACATTCCAGACAAAGCAATCTCCACGAAGAAAAGCATTTGACGGACCCTCCACCAGAAAAATTATGCAATGCACTTTTAACTTGATGAGAGGACAGATACATTTCTTATATCAACAAATTTGAACTCATATTTGCTAAATATTATGCCATTTTATTTGTATGTACAGCATTTTTGTCGACTTGTGCATGTAATTATGAGGCTAACCATGTTTTCCTTCAGGAGTGATTTTGTGATATCATACTTCATCGCCTTCAGCAATGACAGCAGAGAATGGACCACTATTCACGACGGATATGATGACTGGGTGAGTTGAAAATGAATAAAACTATCCTAGTCATTGTCCTCTGCTTTTGATGTAAATATAAATTCTTTTTCTGTTTTGTTTTGTTTTCAGTTATTTTTTGCAAACAATGATAAGGACACTCCAGTAATGAACCGATTGGCTGAACCAGTTTTGGCTCGTTACATCCGCATCATCCCTCAGAGCTGGAATGGGTCACTGTGTATGCGCCTGGAGGTCCTGGGTTGTCCCGTTCTGGGTGGGCATCTGAATTTTAATGGCACCTATCAAACCTTAAAGGGCCCATATTACTCTGCTTTTTGATCTAGGTTATAATGTTATTTCCTCATCACAAACATACCTGGCGTTGTGTTTTGTTTCACACAATGTTTAACACACAAATATTTAGGCTGTATTCTTCTTTCAAACAGAAAACTCTGTTCCACCTTGTAATGTCATGTGGTAATACAGAAAGTGCTCCACTGTGTGTTTAAACTCCGTAAAACTTCACTAGAATCATTTGGATAATTTCAGCCATGGAATTGCAAATCTCTATTGAATAAATGGTAAAAGGAGCTGTTAACTTGAAAACTACCACTACCTGACATTACAAGGTGAAACAGAGCATTTTGAGCTTTGGAGATGTAGACAGATAAAACAAAACAGAACTCCAGGTTTGTTTTAATGAGATGACAGCATTATAACTCACAAGAGTAAATTTTGCGTAATATAGGACTTTTAAGGAACAATAATAACATATTGGAATGTGAACCCTCTCAGATCCAGCTGAAGTTCAGTACAGACAGAATGAAGTTACTCCGGTGGATTACCTTAAATTCAAACACCACAGCTACTCAGACATGGTTGTTGTGAGTATATATATTGTGCTTTATTAAGAAAATTATGTTTGTATATTAGACTGCATGTAACATCGAGCAACATTGATACATTTCAGTCTTTTGTTAATTGAGTTGTGTGTTTTTTAGCTGATGAAATCCGTTCATGACGAGTGTCCAAACATAACCAGCATCTACAGTCTTGGTCGCAGCTCTAATGGACTGGACATGATTGCCATGATCATCTCTGGAAATCCCACAGAACATGAAGTAGGCAAGTAGATAACACTAAAATGTATTTATTGGCATCCTGTATAAAGGATCGAATGAAACTTAAAATTGAATGGTACTACTTTCTAATGTATTTTTATATTATGCTATATTAATCTCAACTTGTTACAGAGAGCAGTAAACTTTTGGAAAAGTTTTGGATTTCTGTCTTAGTTTGAACTTTTCAGTGTTAATCACTGCCTCCCCAGGTGAGCCCGAGGTCCGGTTCACGGCAGGCCTCCATGGAAATGAGGCAGTGGGCAGAGAGCTGCTTCTGTTGTTGATGCAGTTCCTGTGTAAAGAGTACAAGGACCGAAACCCAAGAGTACAGCGCCTAGTCGAGGGGATTAGACTTCACCTGGTGCCCTCCCTCAACCCAGATGGACAGGAGAAAGCTTTGAAACGGTCTGTGAGGCAATCCAGGACATACCTAAAAGTTAAACTGTATTATTATTTATTACTTTGTGGTCTTTTACAGGGATCAGAACTGAGTGGCTGGACCACAGGTCACTTCACAGAGGATGGTTTTGACATTTTTGAGAACTTTCCAGATTTGAACACAATCTTATGGGATGCTGAAGACAAAGGCCTTGTGCCAAAACTGGTGCCAAACCATCACATACCAATCCCAGAAAACGTGGAGGCCAACAGCTCAGTAAGGAATGTTTTAAATGTTGTAATTGTACACATAGTAAGCAGTGATTCTGTCACATTTGACTGTATGGGCAGACAGACAATGGTGCTTGGGGTTAGCCAGAACCATTTCTTTGATCTTGACTGTCTTGCTCTTTCAGATTGCAGTGGAGACCAGGGCCATAATCTCATGGATGAGAAGCTATCCATTTGTGCTGGGAGCAAACTTCCAGGGCGGGGAGTCAATTGTGGCCTATCCTTATGACAACTTGCGCATGAACAAACCTGCAGAGAACCAGAGAGCCCACAGCCGCAAGAAGAGACAGTAAACTATAGATTTTTTTTACATTTTTATAATATATTCCACTGTACTTTATAAACTGATTACTTATCTCAAAACCTGTGCTACTTTACCTTGCAATCATTTGACCCTATAACATTTATGATGCTACAAAAAAAATATAGTTGCTCATCTTATTTTCATTTTGCAAGTTCTTCCTAATAGCTGTCCCATATTGCTTGCAGGTATGAGGAAGAAGACCAGTTTGATGTGACAGAATGGGGCAGAGGGTACCAGGAAGAGCCAGAGGAGGAGTGGAGGGGCAGAGGATACGCAGAGCCAGAGGAGGAGTGGCGCGGGCACAGATATGACCACGGTTATGATCGTGGATACGAACATGAGCGTGGATATGAACATGAGCGGGGGTAGGCATGGGACCTTATTGAAATTTGGTGTATGATTAAATTACAAATGTTATGGATAAGAAATTGTAATATTATTAGGTTCAATATTTAAACAATTGTTATATTATTGTACTTTGTTATAAGTGAAAATAACAATGATCTAGAAGAGGACATCATGGATAAGTAGCTTTTTTATGCATATTCTGGTGATGAAAATGGTCATTATCTTTGTTGGCGTTTATTACAATTATATAAAATGTGCCACGAATAATTATTGCAGACTTTTATCAGATTTTTTATCACAATATTATTGTTTATTGTCCCATTCTTAGATCGTGGATATGAGCATGAGCGTGGGTATGAGCATGAGCGTGGATACGAACATGGATACGAACCAAGCCAGGGGTACGGACACAGGGAAGAGGAGGATGAGGAGAGGCGAAGAGGAGATGGAGGAGGAGGGTATGCAGAACCAGAAGATGAGCCCAGAGCAACAGCAGATGAGTCTCTGTTCAGATGGCTAGCAGTTTCCTATGCCTCCACTCACCTTACCATGACACACAACTACCACGGGTCCTGCCACGGAGATACAGCAGCTGGGGCGTATGGCATTGTCAACAGAGCCAAGTGGAAGCCTATCACAGGAAGTAAGAATATCACAATGTACAGCCCTACATCAATCATCAATGTAAAATTTTAATTAATTTGGAAGAACATTTTGATTGTCAACAGATATAGTTAGTTACGGTTACTGAAACTGATGTGTAGTATTAGAAACTGGGAAAAATAGGTTGTGTGGTTGTCAGTCCAGTAGTGCACTCAGTTATCCTTGGGCAAGACACTCCAACATAGAGTGGTAACTTCAGTCCATTTAGGGTCTGTCAAATGCTTTTCTTCATGGAGATGTTTTTGCTTTGTTTGGAATGTTTCACAGTATGGCATTAAACATTTCTGTCTTCACGGAAACCAAAGCAGACCAAGTTACAGATTAGATCTGTGGAGAGACAACCTCGCTCAGTCAGAATGCTTTTTTTTCTATGTAATTTTGTGCTATAAAACACACAGGTAATTGAATAAATGTGAGGTAGAGCTGTTTAATGTCATGTTGTGGAACATTCTAGGCAGTGACATATCCATAGAAAAAGGCAAGTGATGGACCTTCAACCAAAAAGTTACATAGTGCACCTTTAAATAGCAGGCTTTGACCCAAAGATTACTCAGTATTAAAACATAGCTGTTGTGAATCCATGATTATTAATTATGTGAAATTAAAGTCATCAGCCAAGCAGGAGAAGAGCAGCTGAGGCTTCAATATTAGCCTACCACCTCTAGGTATGGCCTGGATGGATAATGCTTTAGGCATATTGAAACGTGTGAGGTTAAAGGATAAATTATAATTATAAATTAGGTTACTCACTTCGCATTTGATCATAGCATACTCTAGTGGTCAGTATATGCATTGCTCTTCCTAGGCATGAATGACTTCAGTTACCTACACACCAACTGTTTTGAGCTGTCCATTTTCCTGGGCTGTGACAAGTTTCCACATGAGAGTGAACTGATGCGAGAGTGGGAGAAAAACAGAGAAGCAATGCTCATTTTTTTGGAGCAGGTCAGTTGTGCTTTCAAATCATATTTTATGCACTATAGACAGTACAATAGTTAAGTCACTTACCATTGTGATGTTTATTTTTTTGTATTAAAAGGTACATCGTGGAATAAGGGGCATTGTGAAGGATGAGCAGGGCAACCCAATAGGAAATGCCTCAATTTCAGTAGAAGGAGTAAACCATGATGTCACCACAGGTCAGAAGAAAAGACCAGAAAAAAATCATTCATAAAACTACTATAAGCGCAATAACACGTTTTTGCTCTTTATTTGCAGCTCCATCAGGGGACTACTGGCGGCTGTTGAACCCAGGGGAATATCGCGTGACTGCCCGAGCAGAGGGCTTTTCTCCAAAGACTCAGCTGTGTGTGGTTGGATACCAGCCTGGAGCAACAGCCTGTAGCTTCAACCTTGCCAAGTCCCACTGGGACCGCATTAAACAGGTATGACATTAGCAGTACCCATTTGCATGCACTTGCAGCATATAATCCAGTGGAGTTTGATCAGATCTAGACCAGATTTGCACTTCAGGTGAGGCTTATTTATTTATATAGGCTTATATATTTCAGTGCGCTTTACATTCTATAACAGTTGTCTTTCCTATAAGAGCTATCAAACGCATAACTCACTGTGGACTTTCTTGGTCTTTTTGAACAATGTTTGTCCTACTTTTAATTGTGCCTTACCAAAAATTATCCATCTTAAGACAAGTCAATAATCAAGAAAAAAATATTGTAAAAATTGTAGCATAACAATACTGCTTACCAAGCATCATGTGGCAAAAATCCTCTATTCACCATTCATCACCTTTGGCTTATCTTTTAATCATTTGTCCTGTACAGATCATGGCTCTTCATGGAAATAAACCAATCCGCCTGGTCGGCAACACCAGAACCAGTGTGGTCCATGGGAATAGGGTCAATGGGAACAGGCGTGTGGTTGTGAATAGTGGTTCACGGCTGAACCCAGAACAGCAGAGGAGGATCAGGATAGCCCGTATTCGTCGCCTTCGCAGACAGAGGTTACTGAGACTGAGAGCGACTACAACTACATTACCTCCAACTACTACAACTACAGTTCCCACAACTCCTGAGACCACTACTTCCTGGTACGACTCATGGATGATAGAGGGACAGTCTTCCACGCCTGGAGGGTTCACAGACTCCATTCTGGATTTTAACTATGAGTACAAAATTGATGACTATTAAAGCAACATCTGCTCTTACAACTCCCTTTTCCCTTCTCACTGCACTGTTGATACAAAAATGAGGTTTGTTTGTTTGAATGCCTGTCAGGCTTTGAGAATTCACTCTAAACATTACATATTGTTATTTGTGTATAAATAAAATGTCTCTTTTTATAAATAGACCTATTTATTCTTGTTCAGTCGCACCACATGTCTGTTTCATACAATTACATTTTGTGATGTTTATTTTGGACACATTAAAACAATTTTGACAGTGCAGAGGTTTGGATTATTTACATTGCAACCAGTTATAACAAGTCAATATTTTTCTTAGATGGTGACAGTCAGAAATTATTTATCATGTTACTTCATTGTTAGAAAATAAACTGGATACAAACTTTAGTATAAAATTGTGTTTGAATGCTCATCCAGTCACTGGCAAGATCTTTTTGAAGTATAGCTGACATCTTTTTACATACCCTGTTTTTATTATTAACATATTAGTGGCTAATGTTCATCTCGCTCTCCTCATTGTCAGCGGTAAAAGCACAGAAGTTGACTGGCTCACATTCAAGAGTGCGCAAGTTGACCATGCACGCTGTCTGTGTGCTACTGAACTCTGGGATGGCTACCAGCAAGACTTCCTGACCTTCTGGGCCTGTTGCAGATGAGAATACAATGAATAAAAAGAAATGTTGGTAGACTACATATTACAGAGCATACACAAACCTTTAATGATCTTTGAGTCAAAGGATGGTGCATTACCACTGAAGTACACATGGGGACAATCTTGCAAAATGAAGGGATCCTTTAGGTAGAATGGATAACAACCTGTGAGGAAAAAAACACGTTATGACTCTGGAAGAACAAGGGGAGCAGTACAGTAGAAGTCATTACAAACCTAAGGTATCAGGTGCAGTTGGTGCAAGATGTCTTAGATGTAGAGTTTCTTCCAATATTTCTAGATGACTGCTTAAACTGCTGTATTTCTGTATGTCAATAACATTTTGACCGGATGTTCCCAAAAACCTTGATTAAAAACAAGAAACTTACTGAATAACTGACACACAATATTGATAATGCACTTGTACACTTCATATGTGTCTCACCTCACTCCATCTATGTCAGCTTGGAATGGGTTGGGGGCCAGTTGTAATGTGGGATATGCAGAAGACATAGGGAGCATACAGCGGTGCAGAGGCTGCTGAGGGAGGGTGTAGTTAGTGGGATCATACTGGCCTGGCATTACATCAACTGGAACAGAAGACTGAAAAAAAAGAAAGGGAAATATTTTTAAAGTAAACATCTCTAGGTGTTAGGTAATTGCCAATGTATAAAAAGTAATACTTGTAAAGTACCACAAGCTGAAGCAGAAGATCATCCAAAAGACGCATGGCATCTACACTTCCTGCCTGGGTTTTCTTTGTAAGGTATTTGGCCTTAATAGAAGAGACTTAGAAATAATTTCCCTGAGTATATCGAAAATGTAACCAGAGCAAAGATGAATACCTTTGTCGATGAGTCTTTGTCCTGGGTGTGTTGACTGAGTAGATTTCCTGCCAAAAGAACTCTGGATATAGTTGATGCACCACTTTGCTCTCCTTGGTCACCTAACTGTCCAGTAATCATATCCACCAACAGTTGCAATCCCAGCAGACTGTCAGCCTGGCTACCTCCCAGACCAAGTCCTGAGACTAGCAGCACAAATCTGTAAGGACAAACATACAATCAGAAACTATGCAAGTAAACATGTGAAACATGTGTTTATTAATTTGGTTATATTTAGGCACCTGTCAGTGCTAAGTGCTGGCCGAGGTGTCTGAACTGGAAACTCAGCGGTACAAAAGTCTTCAACTGTGAATTTCCCATCAATTGTCTCAGCTCCATGTATAGCAACAACAGAGCCTAATGCAATAACAATATACAAATGAAATGTGTTCTTGAAACTCATTGAGTGTGAACACTGGAAGAGAACAGAAAATCAAAAGAATTTAAAACCTGTGAAACACTTGTCTCTGTCAATTTTTCCTTCTAGTTTGATTCTTTGGAGCTCATCTTCTAAAATCAGCTCGTCTGTATCATTTATGTACTTGGTGCGTGGAGGCTGAGGCAGAAGATTATGCTGAAAAAACAAGAGAAAACAAACATATCAAATACAAATACAAAATAGTATGACCAAAAAATATAACCATGTCCATAAAGAGTGCAGACCTCTTCACTAATCTCTTTTAGAATTGATGGCTGTAACTCCATACGTTTGAACAAAGTTCCCACAATGCAACACTGCTCTCCTGTCTGAAGATCACAAAGCTTTCTGATGGTAACTTCAGACCCTTAAGAGATGCAAATACAAAATATTAACACACACATATATACATATAAAATTACTGTCGGGTGTTTTTTTTTATTACACATTTACTAACCCCATTTCTGCTTGGCTCTCTCTGTAAGCAAAGGTCTCATCTCCATCAGTCGTGCTGCGTAAATGTGTGCATATTGGCGATTGAAGCTTCGCTCTCCAACGCTGTAACGCTCCGAGCAGAGGTTGTAAACGGGGGACACTCTCTGATACGAAGGCAGCTGCTCATCAGAGGCAGGAGGGCAAAGCACAGTGGAGCCCTCCTTCTGGGCACTTATGTCAGAAAACATGGTCACTGCAGAGATGTAAAATTGGGAATAAGGTTATTTTGTGACATTCTTGCGTCATATAGCTAAACATACATTTTGTAGACACGTTGAATATTTAAGACATGTTCGACTTGATTTGCTAATTGGCTTTGCACAAGTGTAATGACAACAAACATGCACTTTCATCAGTTTATCTGGCTATTGTCAAATTTTGATGCACGTTCTTACCTTAAAATGTACACTTTAGAATCGGTATTTGGCGTTTGTCTGATGTTCCTCGTCCTCTGTCAGACAACATGAAACTCTTCCCGCGAATTCACTAAGTCGGGAGAGTGTGATCTCGCGAGAAAAGTAATAGAAGAAAAGACAAACAAGAGGCTTCTCCGTGGCATTCGGAGGGAAATTGCTGTGTTTTACACCCTCATAATGCGGAATACAAATGCCAGCACTTGTACGTAAGCGAATAATGGTATGTATAATTATGACAACAATGTTCTTTAACAGTGGATAAAACACGAATAGATTCCATGACAAAACACAACACCCCCCTACCCCCCGTCTTGACGCGTTGAAATGACGTCACTTTTCCGTCTCACGTAAACCAGGTCACAATAGCGTTTCTGCAAGAAGATTCGCCATTTTAGCAGCTCTTTGTGAGCCACGGCCTGCACTTGAGGTTGTGTTTATTATTCCATCAATTCTCTCCTTTGTGTTTTAGTATTTTTTGAAATGCAAGGAAATAGGGGCCCGCAGCACAACCACGGCGCTAATCGCCACTCTACTGGGCATCCGGAGCATGGGCACGGCGGCGGAGCGAACAGCAATGGCCAGCAGCCCGACTCCTCCGAGCACAAGAGCGTCAACGAGTCTCTCACCTTGGATCTGCAAAGCTTTAGGAAGCCGGGAGAGAAAACATTCACCCAGCGATGCAGGCTGTTCGTGGGTAACCTCCCTCCAGGCGTTAGCGAAGAAGAGCTGGAGACCTTGTTTGCAAAGTATGGAAAGGCTAGTGAGATTTTCGTCAACAAGGAAAGAGGCTTCGGCTTCGTCCGGTTGGAGACGAGGATCATCGCAGAGATTGCAAGAGCTGAGCTCGACGATACTCCCTTCAGGGGGAAACCGATACGAGTGAGGTTTGCTACTCATGGTGCAGCACTGTTAGTGAAGAATTTGCCAGAGTTTGCGTCAAACGAGCTTCTAGAGGAGGCCTTTGCTGTCTTCGGTCAAATCGAAAGAGCAGTAGTGATAGTGGACGACCGAGGCAGGCCAACGGGGAAAGGAATTGTGGAATTCACCTCAAAGCCAGCTGCCAGAAAAGCCTTGGATAAGTGTGGTGATGGCGCCTATCTCCTCACAGCTTTCCCACGACCTATTACAGTTGAGCCAATGGAACAACTGGATGAAGATGAAGGTTTGCCAGACAAGCTCATTAACAAAAACCAGCAGTATCACAAAGAAAGGGAGCAGCCCCCACGGTTTGCACAGCCGGGCACCTTTGAGTACGAGTATGCCATGCGCTGGAAAGCCTTGATGGAGATGGAGAAGCAACAGTATGAGATGGTGGACCGTAACATGAAAGAGGCTCAGGAGAAACTGGAGACAGAAATGGAGGCTGCAAGACATGAACACCAGGTGATGCTGATGAGACAGGACCTGCTGCGACGTCAGGAGGAGCTGAGGCGGATGGAGGAGCTTCACAGTCAGGAGGTGCAGAAGAGGAAGCAGGCAGAGCTGCGGCGTGAGGAGGAGCTCCGGATGCGAAACGAGGAGATGATGAAGAGGCAGCAGGAGGGCTTCAGAGGGAACTTCTCTGAGGGCAGAGAGCCTGACATGAGGATGCACATGGGTATGCCCATGAACAGGAACTCAATGGGGGGCAACTCTGGCCAGTCTGGAGGAGCTGAGGGCAGCCCTGTAATGTCTGGAAATGGCAACATGCCCGGGCCAGGACAGGGGGGCTTCCCCAGAGGCCTTCCTGGATCGGGGGACTATGTAGTACCTAACAAACAGCGCAGGTTCTGAAATGTGTCTTTCACCCTGTTTTAAAAAAGTTCACATTGTGAGCATTATTGTTAAAATTGCATGTTAATTTTTTTACTTTTTATTTGTACTTGTATAGCCTACATTTTGTACTAAAATGTCCATGACTCTCAAAACAAGGATTATTTTACTGTATTTCTCATGCAAATGTGACTACTCATAGGGATAGATTTTTTTTGTCCAAAATATGTTGACTTTTCTGAAATAAATTTATTTCTTTCCCCTGAAATGTATTTTTAATTGTGTGAAATAACTTAATTTAAGAAATCAAATTAATTATTAAGAAAAAATTAACATAATTTCTCTTGCAGTCAGAGATCATTGCGTGCTGTAAATTTATAGCATAAAGCACATTTTTACTGCCTCCTCCCATTATTCAAGCAGATAGACCTGGTTACAGTGTTGAGAAGTAACTATACATGCACAAAGAATATGTATTCTGAATACTAATTTTGAGTAACTATTCCAACGCTGTGACTTTTTCATGAGCTTGTATTAAGAAAACAGTTACTTTTGTAAAATCAAAGGAATATATAATGATATGTAATTTAAACTTCAAACTGCACATACTGGGAACAATGGAAAACAGCTCTTATGATGACTGCATGTGTGATTTTCGCATTTCCACACAGCAATAGGAAATACTTTTAGCTGAAACAAATATAAAGCTGTTTTGTACACTACATTATAATAATGTACATTATAATTTAAATGCAGCTTGATGTAAAAGTATTCTATGCATTCAGAATACAATCCTCTGATTGCCCCATGTTTTGAAATAGACATTTAATTTTATTCTGTAATGTAAATTACTCTGAGCTGCAATTCATTTACATTGTGACCTGTTAAAAAATATCAAAAAAGAATCCCTATATTGCAGGTACCTTTATATTAAAACATCCTATTCTATATAATACTTTATTGCCTATTTATTTATGCTTTGAATAATCATATAAATATGCTATGATCATAAAGTTTCTGTATTACTGAGTGATGCTGTATTTTTTTAAATGTAGAAACTTCCATCTGACTCATTCTGATTACACTGTGACCTCATACATGCTGTCTACAATGCATTTTCACTTTCACCAACCTGTATCACACACATTTAATTATTTTAGATACAGCATTAAAGCTATGTCCAAAAGTTTGAAGAAGGCATACAATTATTTAGGTTTGTATAATTTCAATACAATCAAGGGCTCTTTACATGCTCAAGATATGTTATATATAACCACATTAAATTGCTGTTGTAAATGTAATGCATTCCACCTCACCATTTTAGATGGGCTAAATGAAGTAAGAGACAATTAAATTATTCAGACATTTGTTTACAAACCTTTTTGTACTGAGCACCTTCTAAGGTTTTCTCACACTCTCAGTGCCCCTTTACTTGGATAGAAGGTTGAAAAATATGCTATATTGTCCACTATTTCTATTACATTATCTTATTTTGATTGATTATTGGTGTTTGAAATCTTCCAAAACATTCTCAAGGATTAAAAATGTAGCAGTCTTACAAATAACATTTTTATTCAATCAACCTCAGAAAGAAAAACTGATTTAAATTACACCTAAAATATGTGCTTGTATAAGATTTATAACTTATTTTCAGAAAATGTCTGACTTTCAACCCTCATGCTCTCCTTGGGCTCACATTGACCCGAAGAATTTTTTTTTCTCCTTCCTGCTGTCTTGGGGCAGGTCAATCAGACCCAAAAATTTATTATAAATAAATTCTTGCCAGGTGAGAAAATAAATATTTTTGGGCCTGATTGACCCGCACCAAGAGAGCGGGAAGGGAAAAAAAATAATTTGGGTCAATGTGACCCCAAGGAGAGCGTGAGGGTTTTTTAAACTTAAATAAACAAACTGGACCGAGAGTCACAATATTTGGCTTGGCTCCTGATGACTTGTTTAGTTTTCTGTCTTGGTTGTACATTTGCCCAGTATTGCCTTGTGAAAGTTTGTTGACTAAAAAAAAGGTGTGTGAAGGGTCATAATTAGGATACCTTTGATTGAACTTTTGCTTATATGGGACCTTATGAAGGAAGCTAACCCTCACCTATCAAAGAGTTTACGATAATAATGGGCCGCTGGCACAACAAGAGTTCCATAAATAATGATAACAACCGGGCCATTAAAAGCAGTCTGATTGGATCTGAATATTGGGTCAGCCATCTGCAGATGCTGAGTGAAAGTCCAGGGTGGAAAAACAGATAAAAAAAATAATAACGTTCATGTTCCAGGTCAAGAAAAGTAGGCAGCAGAAGTTTATGGAAGCAAAATGTGTTTCCATTCAAGACTACACATTCTATTCTTTTTGTCCATATTTAGAAACAATATGGTTTCTAATAGTTATTGAAGAAAAATTTGAATTTTGTTGTTTTCCACAGCATCCACACCATAATTCAAACTATGCCTTTTACTGATGATTTACAGAAAAAAAAAATCTACAGAAACAGGCAGTGTCCATTATCCATTATCCATTTTAGACTATGGAAACACAACTTGTATACAGGCAACTGCACATGTTTTAAAACCACTAGATGCTCTCTACAACACTAAGGTTTATTACATGCAATGGCTACCATACACATCACTGTGTTTTATACCAAAAGGTTAGATGGCCATCTCTCACAGAGATGTGATCAACACTACAGAAACGGCCTTTTTACTTAATGTCACTTAATGTTGTTTTAAATCCACAATGTCACAAACACAGCAGCACTTTATATTACAAGTTCCATTTGTTAACAGGGAACTGAGTCAGAGTACTTTTAATTACTATGGCCCATACATATGGAACAAACTGCAGTCATCTTATCAATCAATATCAGTCAATATAAAAGAAATGGAAACATTTCTTTTATATTCCATTTTAAATGACCGGTTTGATTGTTTTAATTTATCTTATATTGTGTATTTTATTCATTGCCTCATGCTAATATTGCATTTTATTTTATTTTATTGTTTTTATTATTATTGTCATTATAATATATTCTAATGTATAATGTCTTTGTATGTATACAGGGCACTGTTGTAAAAGAGAGACTCTCAACTGGTCTCCCTGTTTAAAGGTTAATTAAAATAGAGCCTATATGGTAACATGGACTGCAGTTTTTTGTTTTTTTTTAACTGTCTTTTTTGACATCTGTTTTTTCCCTTCCCCTTCATTCGGAGAATTTGAGTGTTTTATAGTCAGCTTCAGCTGAGTACCGTGACATGTCAAAACCATATTATCTCATCTTATCATCTTTCTTGTCTTCCCCATCTGAGTTGATCACAGTTTGGCCTGATATCTTTCACATTACTTGGGCGGACCTTGGTTATTTGTTTTTCTCTGCTTCTGACCTTGACCAAGATAAGTTGATAAAGTTAATATTCTTGAGGGGTGGCCAGGTGTGTCATCTTATCATCCTGCAACCAGATCTGTGTGTTTCATGCCATAATATATCCAGAAAACTAATTTTAGCACCAGTTGTGAAAGAAAAACCAAGTACTTACGGACTTAAGTAAAAGTATCACATGAAAAAATTCACTTAAATAAAAGTATTAAAGTGCCTGTTTAAAAATACACATAAAAGTCTTCAAATTTAAATAGATCTTTTTTTTCCCTAGCTGTTTTTCTTCGTTTATTTTTGTTTGCTCAAACAACAATTGTGTTACAAATTAACCCTCAGCCTTTTCAGCTGGTCTCAGACAATAAATAAATAATAAAACATACTTTTACATTTCAGTCCTGCTCATAAAAAAATAAATATATATATATATATATATATATCCACTTTCAAATCCACTTTCAAATGTACTTAAGTAAAGTACAGATACGTACAATTTTTAACTTAAGTACAGTACAACCTCATTACTTCATTACATTACACCCCTGCTTAGCACTTACCCAAAATACTTGTGCCAGTGGGAAATTAAAGTCTAAATTTCTTCCTTTAGTAGTGAGAAGTGAGAAAAGCAAGTAGATGTGAGAGCATTTTATTGCAAATACATTATTTTAATCCTTCTTGCTCAATCATTACTTCCTTTACTTAGGAAGACTTAACTTATTGGTAATATTAGGTTGGTGGATGACCAATAGATTACACAGACAATATTGGATAATTTTAAAAATACTATTCATTGTTGAGGTATTCTGTTTTCATTTGACACACCTTGCCTGCTCCCTGGGGTTGTCTGTTTGGACAAGTGGACAGCCACCATGATCCTTCTCTTGATCCAAATCAGAATATGAAGGGTAAGACATACCAGCCCTAGTAATGAAGTCAAATAAATAATAAATAAATAAATTATATTTTTGAGTTACATAAAGATGCATTAAACTGCATTACAGTTAATATAAAGATGTAGCAAGCATCAGTCTACTCCCAGACATAAAAGCACAGTCTTCTCTGCTCACATAGGTGGAGAGAGGCGTGGTTATTTTGTGGATCTCCTATAGTTTCTCCCAGCAACGCAATCACAGTCTCGGTAAGTGTTAATTATCAGTCAGTATTGATTGTCTGTAGCTGTAGCTGCAATTGGTCAGAGTGCATCAGACCAGATAAGAAACGTGTTACGTGACAGATTTTTTGACGTTATACTGTGATTTTCAACTCAACTAAGTGTAAAACCATTATTCTCACAGATATCAGGAGAGAGAGGGCTGAGAATCAGAGGCACAAGTCCCTCTCACTCACAGGTACTGTCTGATGTGTCCCTAAATCTGGTTAGAGAAATAGAATTTAACACTTCAGCTGAATCGACCAAAGGACTGTGGAGTCATGGCTCGAGTAGCAACTCTCTACACTTTACTCTGCTATTTGGTAAGTAATTTCAACAAGGGAGCAAAACCTTTGTTTCTATTTGTTCAGCATTGTCTCCTGTTTTTGTAAAATTGTATTGAATTAATTTAAATAATTCTAAGTAATATAAACATATATATTCAAGAAATATGTAGACAAATCTGCTTGTATTTTTATTGTACAACAATAAATGGTTATATAAACACAGGGCAGCCCCAAAGCAATCATTGCATTTATCAAGTGATACTTATCTTTTATTGTATTTTTATTGATTTAATTATACTTATTTATTTTTCAAACACAGGTCTTGACAGAAGCCCAACATGAACCAGGAAAATGTCTCTTTTATGATGAGTGTGGAACAAACCCCACTCTAAATGGAACTCTTATTAAGCCTGTTGTGCCCTGTTTAAACCACAGCCCTGCCAGACGGTTATCAGGGGAACACTACAGAAAGTTCAAACAGGTAAAAATATATGGTAAAAAGTAATTTAATGAGTAAAATGTACAAGAATCAGATGGCACAGAGGCAAAGTTGATGTGTCACCCTTGGGTAGGGCTGTTTGTGGACCTTGCACTGTGGGTCAGCTGCTTTCTTGCTCCTGCACAAATACATGCATTTTTAATTAACTGAAATATTAGCCCTACTCAATCTAGCCCACTAACCGATGTATCACATTTTTACAATTAATGAATTGAATTAATTATTCCTACTGTTGAAATTGGCTGAAGTGTGATAAAAAATAATATATATAATTATAATTATATTGTAATTAAATTGGGTATTTTTTGTGACAGGTGTGTCCTATGCTGGATCAAGGAGAGAACAACACATATGCCTGCTGCTCTATCACTCAGCTCATCTCCCTGGAAACGAGTCTGACTCTTTCCAAAGCTGTCCTGATCCGTTGCCCTTCTTGTTCTTACAACTTTGCGCACGTACACTGCATCAACACCTGCAGTCCTGATCAAAGCCAATACGTGAATGTCACTAGAGTCATGAACATCACTAACATGGGTGTCACGAGGGAAGCTGTGGTGGCCTATCAATCATATTTGTCTTCCAGATTTGCACAGAATGCTTTCCAGTCTTGCAAAAATGTACGTATCCCAGCTACTGGTGGTTATGCGATCTCAACAATGTGCGGTCGCTATGGGGCCAAACTATGCACCGCTCAGCGTTGGTATGACTTTCAAGGAGATTCTAGTAACGGTCTTGCCCCGTTGGACATAGACTTTGAGCTCATTTCTGATGGTGCTGCTGGATCACTACCAAATGGCTTAATCCCCTACAATGGCACGGCTCTGAAATGTAACCAAGAAACACCAACAGGAGGCAAGGCTTGCTCATGCCAGGACTGTGAAGAAGCATGCCCTGTTGTCCCAGGACCTGAAGAACCACCAGGCCCATTCAAACTTTTTGGTGTGGATGGTTTTCTGTTGATCTCCATTGTCATGCTTTGCCTGCTGATATTTGCCTTCATATTATACATGTGTGTGAGTTGCTATGTGAACTCTAAGAAGCCAAAAACTCAGAAAAAGAAAAAGGATTTAAATAGCAATGATGTTACTCAAAGACCCATTCACCCTTCAGAGGTTACATGTACTGACAAGAACAGTCTGGCTGCACAGGCTTTCTTAAGTTCCATATTTCAAACCTGGGGAAAGTTAATGGCTACTTATCCATTAACGGTGAGTAATGAAAAGCATCTTTTTAATGAGTAATGAAAAGCCTTTCATGCTTACACATTACATTATATCCATGGGTTGTATTCAGAGTGATGAAAAAAATTAAACTGATAGAGCTCTGTCAGAGCAACAAACAATTTAATACAATAGTTTCTGTTTTTTGAATAATTAAAAATTATTATTATTATTGGCCTAAATACTGCTCAACAACATAATTTACATAAACTCAAATGAGATTTATTCAACAGAATAAAATATTGTACCATAATATATAATATAATAATACATCCAAGTATTTAATTGCCCAACTCATTCAAGACTGTATGTGACTGTTTGTCTAATTATTTCTCAGTAAACCCAAGAAAACCTAATATTGATTTGATTGATTTATATTATATTAATAATATTTCCTTTGTAGGTGCTGCTTATCTCAGCTATTGCTGTTGCTGCTTTTGCCACTGGCCTCATGCACATTGAGCTCACCACAGACCCAGTAGAGCTGTGGTCAGCCCCTAACAGTCGTGCCCGCCAAGAGAAGGACTTCCATGACTCAAATTTTGGGCCTTTCTTCCGGACAAACCAACTGATTCTCACAGCGCCCCAAAGAAAAGGACACGTTTATGATTCTCTACTTTTTGGACTTCAAAACTTCAGTGGGATTGTTTCCAAAGATCTGATTACTGAGCTGTTGGAGCTACAAACACGAATTAGGGTAATCATCATCACAATCTAAATAATTATTTCCCTACACAGATCAAAAGAAGTTAGTGGACTATTTTGTCTTATCTGGATAAATGCATCAGAATCAGCTTCCAAAATGAATCAAATTAAAAGGCCAGATTTTAGAGACATGCATTTATGAATGACAGCGTTGCCATGTGTCTTATACTATAGATAGAAGCTTATTGTAGCCTTTCATTTTTAGGATGGGCTGCGCTTTACAGAATTTACAGAAATTTACAAATGAATGTGCTAATTACTACTCATTAGGAGGTAACTTTGCTGTAAAAGGAAAAAAATTAAATGTCCATTCTAACAAATTTTAACTTGTTCTTTTTAGGATATAAAGTTTTTCTCAAAGGACCTGAATCGCACTGCGAGTTTGAAGGATGTGTGTTTTGCCCCATTGAATCCAACCAACCCCCAAACTACAGACTGTGCTGTGAACAGCCTGCCCCAGTATTTCCAGAACAGTGTGGATAACATCAATGCCAAGGTGAACATGACCGAACTGGGAGTGACCAAAGAGGTGGACTGGAGGGACCACTTGATCTACTGTGTCAAGTAAGAGTGAAGCTAAAACAATATTCTGTAGAAGTAATAAAATTGTGTTTATAAGCGAAAGATTGTCACAAATACTAAATAAGACTGTAATTCAGAATGTATTTTTCTTCAGTTCCCCACTGTCCTTCAAAGACATTACTGACTTGGGCATGAGCTGCATGGCTGATTATGGAGCTCCAGTTTTCCCCTTTTTGGCTGTGGGAGGCTATAATAGTAGGTGTCTAAATTTAAGTTACAAATGGCATAAAAAAGTTGTGAAGGTTTAATATTTTGGCCCTCTTGTTTTTGTAGGTGATGACTACACGAATGCAGAAGCCCTCATTCTGACCTTCTCCCTCAACAACTTTCCACGAACTGACCCCCGGTTCAAAGTGGCAATGCAGTGGGAGACAGAGTTTCTTAAAATAGTTCAAGAATACCAGAAAAATCCTCAAACAAACTTCACATTTGCGTACATGGCAGAGGTATATCACAAACTTTTGTAAGCGCAGCTTGTAAATGTGTTAAAAGCAGGCAATAGTTGTTCCTAGTGTTCACTGGTCAGATGTGACTCTTTCTCTTACATAAAAAAATATGCTCAGTGATAACACTGGATACATTATCGCTGGAAAAAATTTGATAGCCACAATAACAACATAACTCAATAATTAGACCAGATTTTTTTGTGTATATTACATGTACAAATATGTGATAGTCAAAAACATATGTCAGTCAGTTAGAGGAATTTTAAAGTAACTGTAGCATTTGGTAGACAAAATACAGTGAATTTTAAAACAACAATTTATCAACTATTTACTTTTTGTTTATGCAACATTAGTTTGTCTCCTTTTCACTATGTCCTTTGTCAAAGCCTGCACAATCAGATCGATCAGAAATCAGATTATTCACATCAGATGTAACTGGTAATTCCAGAAATCTAATAATGATCAGATTTTAGGTGTGCATGTAAACATCGGGCTACATATTAGGCTGATTATAAAATGTCATCAATATCGATAATATTATCAATAACCACAAAGCAATAACATTTGACTTCCACTTCTCTTGTTTTTCCTCAGAGGTCTCTGGAGGACGAGATTAACCGCACAACTGCTGAAGATATCCCCATTTTCATGATTAGCTATGCTGTAATATTTGTGTACATTGCAGTTGCATTGGGAGAATACTCTTCTTGTAAACGTTTATTGGTAAGATTTTGTGCTTAAAAATGTAAATGCATGCAATCAGCTTTACAACTTTCTAAGGATACAACCTATTAACTCTAACTGTAAATCCATAGTTTTACTCTCTCTTCTGATAAGATACAGTGAAAAGTAGATAAACCTACAGTTATCACATTTCAGATAAGAGGAGTCAGAAATGCATGCCATTGTCAGCTGTCTTTATCTCAACCTTAAGTCTAGTACTATAGGGGATTACAATGTAATAGTTACAATAGATACATATATACATACTGTATGCTATCTGTCGTAAAGGTGGACTCAAAGTTTCTCGTGGGACTGGGCGGGATCCTGGTGGTTGGCTGCTCTGTCCTGGCCTCTATGGGTTTCTACTCGTGGATTGGCATCCCCTCTTCTCTGGTCATCCTGCAGGTGGTGCCCTTCCTGGTGTTGGCAGTGGGAGCAGATAACATATTTATTTTTGTATTGGAGTATCAGGTGAATTTTTTCTCATGTTTTGTATTTTGTCTATGATCTTTTGTAAAATATAGTTACACATGTACAATTTTTTGTGCTAAAGAGAGATGTTCGGAGGCCGGGTGAGAAGAGGGAGGAGCAGATCGGCCGTGTCCTGGGCAGTGTAGCTCCCAGCATGCTCCTCTGCAGTCTCTCAGAGTCTATCTGCTTTTTTCTGGGTAATAATAATAATAATAAGAAGAAGAAGAAGAAGAATAAGAAGAAAAATAATAATAATAATAATAATAATAAGAAGAAGAAGAAGAATTCTATCATGAACAGAAGATAATCCTGCTAATGACTGAATGTCAAAATGTTACAGCAAACCATCACGCCAATGTTCAGTCAATCTATTGAAAGTTAAAATCCCTGTACACTGTTTTTGTTTCCCAGGGGCCCTGTCTACGATGCCTGCGGTGAAGTCCTTTGCCCTGTACGCTGCCCTGGCTGTGCTCATGGATTTCGTGCTGCAGATGACCTCCTTCGTGGCTCTGCTCTCTCTGGATGCTCGTCGTCAGGACAGCAACCGCTGTGAACTGCTGTGTTGTGCCACTGTGTCCACTCGCCGCCCCAACAAACCCAACGAGGGCTTCCTGCTCCCCTTTATGAGGAAATTCTATGCTCCTGTCCTTCTGCACAGTTTCACAAGAGTCATTGTGGTAAAGCCACTACATCAGTGGTTAAAAGAGATTAAAATGTATGATTTGTGTTCTGAACATATATGCTCTTTGCAGATGTTGCTGTTCATCTTTATGTTCTGTGCTTCCTTGTTCCTCATGTTTAAAGTGACAGTTGGTTTGGATCAGGAGCTCGCTATGCCTAAAGTTAGTGTATTTTTTGTTTTTTACCAAGTAACCAAACATAATCAAGTTACATGACATCAAGGGGTGATGTATGCAATTCCGTCAACCAAAAAATATTTAAGTACATTTGCTGCTGTTGTGTCCCTGGGCCACCCCATTGGTCAATCCAGTCAAAGTAATGTGGGTGGTTGCTTCTGGAAGGGATCTGGGGTAAAAATATGAACAAATCAATTTATTTATGGAAATAATGTAACGTATTGGTAATAACATTGTAATAGTGGATGACTGTGACTCTATCAATAAGATGGACAAATCAATCAAAGGGAGCCAGTTTAGTACCATTATAATAATTAATTCATGTGTCCTTATACAAATCGTATTCAGATGACCTGTACATGTTTTTTCTTATTATATTTACAGGGCTCTTACATGCTGACCTATTTTGAATATTTGTACAAATACTTTGAAGTGGGAGTACCTGTGTATTTCGTAACAAAGAAGGGCTTTAACTTCAATACAGTGCAAGGCATGAACGCAGTCTGCTCCAGTGTTGGCTGTGACCAGTTCTCTTTAACCCAAAAGATCCAGTATGCCACAGAATACCCCGAACTGTAAGTCAATTTACAATTTTGTAATATCTTTAGAAAACATACAACAAACAACAAGCCACTCCAAGAAGCAATATCTTCCACCATAACATTCTAAATAAGGAAAATACCTTCAATAAAATTATATAAGAGAGAAAATACCCGTAATAAAATTTGATTCCATAAAAAATATCAGATATTGCTGATAACGACTGAGCTCTGTGTCTATTAAACTTTGGTTTGTTGTTAGATTTTTACTTGCACAAAAGAGACATTTTTAAAATTTGCCTCAAAGTTGTAGATAATAGTGTAATGAGGAAAACACCTCAGTCCCTCATCATTAGTGTCTATCTCTGTGACATGGCCTTGAACGTTCATCTATCACAGTGGAAACCTGTTACACACTGCTCCAGACCAACAGCTCTCTATAGTTAATGATAAACCACCTGGACTTACGCACAATAGAATGCCTATAAGCGAAAGCAATGTAATGACAATAACAATACATGATATGATGATTATCACACAAGTAATGCTATTTGTCTATATAAGCCTGTAACAATAGTCAAAAAGGCCTGTGCATTGATGTGTAGATCGGATATATTTTTATGATAATCAGCACATTTTCTGGCTCATTCCATTAGGAAATTCCATGACAATGCACTGAAAAAAAATAATGTATCACTTTAAAAAATATATAATAATGTAATGTTATTTTTACTGTACTTTTTACATTAATACTGAAATTTATCTTTTTATAAATATATTTTTGTAATGCTTGGAGATAAATAAAAGTAATTCTATTATATGTTTTTGTTTTGGAAACATATAAATAGTTTGCTCATCAAGTCTCTATACTCAAGTCTGCTAATTCCCTGTGCAGATCCTACATAGGTATTCCATCTAACTCCTGGGTGGATGATTTCATTGACTGGCTGAACCCTGGATCAAAATGCTGCCGTCTTTATGCCTTTGGGCCAAACCAGGGGAAATTCTGTCCTGCAAATGAAAGTGAGAAAAAACTGTATTTTTGTGTTTTCTTTTTAAGAAAAAAACAACAACAACAACAACAAAAAACTTAAACCTGCTGTTGTGTCTTTTGGCAGGTGCCTTACGCTGCCCATTTAAATGCATGAAGACTCCTTCAGATGGTGTTCTCAGGCCCAGTGTGGAACAGTTTCACAATTTTTTACCTGATTTCTTGGGGAACAGGCCCGACCTGCAGTGTCCCAAAGGGTAATTCAATCAATCAATTATGGAATGATCAACATTAAATAATTCTTTTAAGATTTGCTTTCTGTTTGCTTTCTGAACAGGGGTCTTGGAGCATATGACACTGCTGTGGTGAGGGATGAGAGCGGAGAGATTATAGGTAGGTATAATACAATTTTCATCCTGTACATAAAATGAGAATATAAATCAAATCACAACAAAACATATTTGAAAATATTAATAATAAGAATTTGTTTTCAGCATCTCGGTTCATGGCCTATCACACTCCTCTCACAAACTCGCAGGAGTTCACAGCTGCTCTGCTTAAAGCCAGAGAACTGGCCCATAACATCACTATGGGCATGAGGCAGGTCCCAGGCACCTCACCAGACTTTGAGGTCTTCCCTTACACGTAAGTTCCCTTCTGAGGCCTCCTGTGTACACTGTTGATATTTATAAAGTTTGTCAAGATAATTGTCAAGAGATTTATCTTCAGCACAGATATGTTACACAATAATGATATAGATAAATATACCGTAGTATTGCTGGGTTTCAGATGACATAATATATAATATTTAATACAGATGTGGGGCAGCTAAAATGAATATTGTTAAAATGCAGTTTTTTGTTGTATTTCATGGTTTTAATTGGTCTACTCACTAATAGGATAGACTGCCTCTTGCCCTCCATCTGAGAGTATGATATCATCACAATCTGAAAATGTGCAATACCTAAAAAAGTATTAATAAATAGCAGCATCTCTGAAGTTGCACACACATAATCACTTTATATAAACAATTTAAAATCAGTGTATACAAAATACTGCCTGTATACTGCCTGTAAACAGTTTTTCTGAACAGGTATTTGTCAGTGACCAGTCCTGTCTATTCTCATTGCAGAGTGACAAATGTCTTCTATGAGCAGTATTTGACCATAGTACCAGAGGGGCTCTTCAACATCTCCCTGTGTCTGTTGCCCACATTTGTAGTGTGTTGCCTGCTGCTGGGGCTGGACCTGAGCTCTGGGCTACTTAATCTTATCACCATTGTCATGATCGTGGTTGATACTGTGGGTGTCATGACACTGTGGGGAATAGATTATAATGCAGTGGCCCTTATCAACCTGGTTACGGTACAGCAAACACCTTTTTACTACATAGATGAGATTATTGATTCCAAAAGAAATGCAAACAGAAATAATAATATATTTAATTTAAAAGATCCTCATGTTGTGTTGTAAATATCTCTTTTACAGGCTGTTGGCATATCTGTGGAGTTTGTATCTCATATGACCAGATCTTTTGCCCTGAGCACAAAGCTGACTCATGTGGAAAGAGCCAAGGAGGCCACAGCCAACATGGGCAGTGCGGTATGCAACATTTGTACTTTTCCAGTATGACTGCCATGGCAGACCAACTATTGACTGACTGATCTCAACCAAGCTCTATTATTACAATATTAAGAAATTGGAATAATATAAAACTAAGAATTATTTAGAGACTATTGTTCCGTTGGCCTCTACAAGTCTTAAATGCATCACAGCTACATATGTGTATATTATTAACACCCAATGATGAGATGTATGCACAGAATTACAGATAATAAAAAATATAATGGGTTGTTGGTGAAAGATTGTCTGATCTTTCTATTTACTGCAGGTGTTTGCAGGTGTAGCCATGACCAACCTGCCTGGGATTCTGGTGCTAGCTTTTGCTAAAGCTCAGCTCATCCAGATCTTCTTCTTCAGGCTGAACTTAGTTATCACACTACTGGGGATGGCCCATGGACTGGTGTTCCTCCCTGTCCTGCTCAGCTACTTTGGTATGTGTGGAAGTTTAAACTCTTGTAAATGTAAACAAACAACAAAATGGTATTATATTGTATTATTACAGTACTTATAATAGGCATATCTGTTTTCCAGGTCCTGGTTTGAACAAGGCTGTGCTGCTGCAGCAACAGCGGGCTAAAGCCAAAGAGATGAAGATGACAAACCACATGAGGCAAGTTTATGATAACATTAGCTTTGAAGACAGTGAAACTAAACCAGAGCAAAATGGTTCCAGCAGTCCCTGTCAAACCACAGCCAACCACCAGGAGCAGACTGACCATTTCTGAGCAAAAAGAACTATTTTAACTAAATACCTCGTTAACAAACTGTACAGTCTGGGACAATCCTAAGGATGGACCAGTAGGAGTGAAAATAAACACAGTTGTGCAATGTTTCAATGCAAGCGGACTCTGAGTCAACAAAAACAACTACGTCTGATGCACTGCCAGATTTAAAGACACTTTAGAAATACAAAGGGTGGTCTTTTGTACTATTTTGTAATAATTTTGTATTCTTATCAGCAGTGTTGCAACTGCAAGTAATTTAATGAATTATACACTCCATGTGCAGTATCAAGTGTTATGTGCAAATGTCCACTAAACAAGGTTTGATCAGTTTTCTTTTAATGATCGACTTTGTTACTTGATTGTTTCGTGAATAAACCACTGTGTAAAGGTTCATCATAAAACATGCACTTACTTGTATGTAGTCCACTAATATATCAATGCAACTTTGATATTTTAATAAATTATTTTACAAATACAGCTGTAAATTTCACAAAAAGTCTGTCTAGATTCCATGGTATTTCATTTATGTTTTATTATTAACAATGCATCCCTTTAGGATTGTATGTTTCTTTAGGTCAATGCCCCAAAACATACTGTACACATTATACAAGGGAAACCACGATTCAGGCAAAAAAGAAACAAAACCCTTTTAAATTATAATACAGTCTTGAGGAAAAATATAAATAACTTTTCATCTCTGGTTGAGCTCACTCTATGGTACAGACATACAATAAATAGATCGGATCTGAAGTCACTCAGCTGATCTACAAATCATCTCTCTACAATTTCTTTTTTTCTTTTTTGAAACTTTTTTATAGCAGCATTAGAGCAAAAACACAAGCCAATGGAAACAGCCATTCCTGTTTCCATGGAAACCTAACCTAATGTTATTTTATAAGTCTTCCCAGTCCCCATCCTTAGCACTATTGCATTGTGAAAAAAGATCTGGGGGGTACCTAAATTCCTACAATGTTATGGCAGCATGTAATGGCAACCTTTTTCGTTAAAGTCTTACAAGAGGAAAAAACATTGAGGTGGCGTTGAGTTTGGCCATGCTAGTTGCACATGCAGAGGGAGTGAAGCAGAGGTACATAGGCTTAAAGTGGGATATCCATTGGACACAGGTAGTTCATGAGCAGAGTACTTAATAGGTAATGAGTTATACAACCAAACAAAGATCAGACACTATTATATAGCCACCTCCTGAGATGTCCCAAAACTGCAAAGCTTACTTACAACACAATAGGTCCTATGCAAGAAGAAGGAATAGCCAAAACTAACTAGTATTAAATAACGTGCTATTGTCTTCATGTACTAGATAGAAAAAAATATACCAATTGCTGATTGTCTGAGAAGAGAAGTACTTGGCGGTTTGTGTGGATGAGAAAGAGGCTTTAGGTTGTAGAAGTTGTATGAGGTGAAAGCAACGCATTGGCTATAACAGAGCAAAGGTAATAAGAGGGGGAGTTTAAAAACGGCAAGACCCGTGGTAGTGTTTTGTTTCAATAGAATAAAATGAGGGTCTGGAGGAAATCACAGGGTATAGACACAAAGACATGCCTTATTCATTTCATTACAGTAAACACCCTCTCAGCAGAGAGATAAAATGAGGCCATCTTAAAACACAGTCTTTTGTCATAATGGTCCAGCTAGGTTGTTTAGCATTATGTAGATGTAACTGCACGAGTTGCTGGAGTATGCCATCCCATCAGTTTTTGGTTCTTTTATAATAGAAACCATCAAGTCTCCAAATCAAGTCTGAAACAGCATTAGGCATGCATCTAGTTTCCAGATAGTGACTTAGTTTGAAGCACTAGTTTGCTTGAAGGTAATACATAAACTTCTCCTTTCCATGTGGCCACAGTGATCCATTTGAACAACAGAAAATGCTTCCTTTAAATTAGATCATTTTCATGCTTTCAGCCAAGTTTGAACTGGGTTTGAGTTTAGTAACTGGCAGGACTGGGGCTGTGGACAAACAGGAGAGGATCAGGATTCAGAAGCCAGGTCCATATCGTCTTCTACAGGTTTTGGTTGCTTTGTCAGGATCGCTTCTGCTTCCTCATACATCTAAAATTGACAAATACATTTTATAAAAGGCACAATTTATTATGCCAAAAGACAAAAACAGAGGTGGATTCTTACGGGCATGAATTGCACATCCTGGAAGAGTTCTTGTATGAAGCGTCTGGAGGTCAGGCGAAACATACAGTGAGCCAAAAGGTGAGAAACCTCAGAGTACAGGCAGATGTCATCAAAAGCATAAGGGAACTTTTCCTTTATCCTGGAAAAAAATGTTTGTTTGTTTTTTGTTTTTCAAAATTGGGAGTTATAAAGAACTTATTTGGGCTAAGAATATAAAGTATTTACGTCAGTAGTCCTGTTTCATGGCCTTTGGTTCCCACTGAGGAGCTGAGGTTGATTATGAGGCGAAGCACTTCTTTCCTCAGCAGGACTCTGGAGGCAGGCCCGTCCTCAGATATTGTCTTTCCATCTGTAAGCAACGCATGTTTAACAGATTGAATATGACTGTATATTTGTGTCTGAAATTGATAAATGTTTTTGTCTTACCAATAACAATGTCAGTGGGAGTGGGAGTGCCACAGATGGAGCCTTGGGAAACAGCAGCATCACTGCAGCCGGAGACTCCTGAAAACTTGGACTGAGGCATCACCTCCAGACGATGTCCTGTCTGACCGCCCCATGACTGGAAGTCCACGTATTCTAAAGGACATTAGACATTCACATAGGACGTGAATTGTGTGTATCCACTAATTTGTCATATATGATGTGAAATGTGTGTCCACTAGAGTCTGGTCAGTGTTTGTACCTGTCCGAGGGTGTGTGTTGAGCTGGGGCTGAGTGCAGTAGCCCAGAACACTGGATCCTACACAGTAGAGACAGTTGTCTTCAGAGTGGTCCTGGAGTCCGGTCTCTTCGGAATCAAACAGGTGGTTCTGGTTCTCGCCTCGACTCGCCATGAGCTCAGAAATACTAAACTGCTGCTTTAACAGGGGAATTGTGCGTTCACCTAAATCAAAAATATAATTTGCATTGAGTGACAGGACCAAGTTTTCTTCTTTTACTCAAACTGAAGGAGGAAAAACTATACCGTCTCCATCCCCGAAGAGGAAGCGTTTTCTCTCCTCAGATGGGGGACTGATTCTCTGCTGAAAGTATGCCGAGTCGCGAATGTGGAACATATCATTTATGTCCATGGGTAATGCCAGGCCGACGTAATCATCATTACACCCATAAGTGGCACTAGACACCATGGAGCGCACAGAAGAACAGCGATGCAAGGTGCTTTGGTTGATGGGACTGAGTAGTTCCTCTTTATCCAGAGAAGCAAAGCTCAGTGCTTTCAAAAACCTAGGCAGGCCAAGAGGAGAGGAGCGTGAGAGGATCCGGGGGGAGAGACTGGGATGTAAAAGGATCATAGGGAGTAAGTTCAAACAATGGATTAAACAGCATAAAACAAGCCAGAGACATGATTTATATCTATAATTGGTTACAGTATTACAACTGATTTTGAATATTTAAAGAGCCCATGTTATGCTATTTATGACCTATCTTATAATATTTCCTCATCAATAGCATACCTGGAGTTGTGTTTTCTTTTATTCATCCAAGTTTAACACACACACTCTTTCTCAAACAGAAAACACTCATATGTCATGGTAATACAGGAACTGCACCACTGTGTTTTCAATCTCTACAGACCTTCACTAGAATCATTTGGATAATTTCAGCCCGGGAAATGCCTATCTTTAAGCAAATGGTAAAAGGTAAAAGGCAGCCATTAAATTGAAAACCACCGACATCACAAGGTAGAACAGAGCATTTTGAGCTTTGGTGAGTAATTATAAATGATTACTCAAACAGGTGTGAAACAAAACACAACTCTGGGTTGTTTTTGTGGAGGTAATAGTATTATAATATGGCTTTAAGTCAATTTTGCATAATATAGGACCTTTAATGCTCAGGGGACACTTGACACTAATATTAAAAAAAAAAAAAAATACTACAGCTAAAATTGTCGAAGAGAACTGTTGTTAAAAATGTAATGAATCAACAAGTACTAAAGTACTACGTGTAACATTCAAAGGCAACCAGTAATCCACAGAGCTACAGGCGGTGACTACTCTATGGGGGACACTAGCGTGGTCCACCCACCGCGGCACAAGTGTTCTGGACAGCCTGCGGTATTTTAAGACGCTGGCATCAGGACAGGTACCCCTCCTATCTGTCATCCTGGAACTGTTTGACTGTGATGGTCTGTAGTCTGCTGTAGAAAACCTTTTCACAAGCAGTCTTTTCATTATCTGTAAAATCATGAATATATTTAAATACAGTGAGCTGTAGTTACCTGCGAGGTGTGAGTCTAGAGTCCAGGCTGCCGGTCTTCATGGTGATGGTGTCTGTGAACAGGACATCTTTAGCGGGAGACGCCAGAGCTTCACTGTGAGATAGAGAGGGGTGTATCCTCTGCTGCTGCAGTCTCTTGAGTGTGGCATAGCCGAGAGCATCTCTGGGACTGGTGTACATGAAGCTGCAGTCAGCTAGACTCTTGATGGTGGTGACTGAGGGGGATTTCAGAGACTGGGCGCGCCGCGGGAGAGTGTGTGAGGAGCCTGGTGGTACGAGAGACACAGTGGAGGACTTGGATGTGGTCATGTGATTTGTCTGTGCCTGTGGGGTGAAGGAGGACAGAGTTTTGACTGTTTTGGCTGAGACAACAGTATTGAGGCTGACACAGTCTGAGGAGTCTGGCTCAGGTTCAGGATGCTCGGGGTTCCCACAGTCTCTCTGGAGGGGCTGGAGCTCATGGAGCTGATGCCACTGGTCGTAGTGTCCGTGTTAAAGCTCTGACTGCGACTCTTAAATTGAGTACCACCTCCCCCCACATTACCCCCTGTAGTGGAGCCGCCATCCCCCGCCAGCCGCTCTCGGCTGGTCTGCTCTCGCTCCCTCATGTGGTGCTCTGGAGCTCCATGTGCAAGACCACTCAGTCCCAAACCAGAGACCCCGCTCCTCACTAATCGCCCATCTGTCAGCTGCTCATCAGAGCCACCCCTGGTCCCAACAAAGGAAGTCTCCAGGCTCACAGTGGGGCTCTTGGGCATCCCTCTGCCATTAAATACTGGGGTGAAGACATCACTCTGGTTTGGGCTGTACACAGATGGCTCAGTAACTGTCCGGTTTCTCCTCATGTTCTTGAGCTCAGTTGGCGTGCGGGACCCTGAGGGCGTTTTAGGGTCACTAGTGGAGCGTATTTTTTTACTGGGAAGAGACAGAGAGTTCAGGAAGCGTGTTCGAACAAAACGTGATGATGCCAGAATGGTGAAGGGACTGCGGTCCTTCACTGGTTTGGAGTGTGAGATATAACAACTCTCATCTGATTGGTCAAAAATGTCACACTTGTCATCGTCCAAGATGTACATGTCTGAAAGGAAAGTGGAACGAAAAAGCTGACTATTAAATACATACATTAAATGTATGTTATCGTATAAATAACTTTAAATGGTTGTACATACTTGGATGAGATTCGCTCTCACTGTTGTGCCGTGAGCTGGTAGACTCTGAGTTCAGACTGAGAGTGCTCGGTACCGATGAGAGTTCAGACGTCAACTGTGTCCCCACCTCGTCCGGAGTAACAGGCCACAGCGTCCGACGACTATGTCTCACTGCATCCCACCCAAACTGTTTGAGCACCTCACAGCCCTGCCTGGTCTTAGAAATGACACCCAGCACATAGATGCAGGTGCTGTAGAAGAGGTTCATAAAACAATGTTAATGAAGGTGACATTATTAAAACACAGTGACGGACATGAACATAAGCTTACCCTCTGACTGACAAGACTTCACAGTGTTGCGCCAATGCAAGGATGTCCGGAATGACATTCTCCTCCTGCAGAAGATTCAGACCCCAGTTTGAAGATCCAATGTTGCCCTGTGTGGAAAACCAAGTACACATTTATTACACTTAGTTGGATTGTTAAGACACAGGTATGATTTGTGCATTAACTGACCAGAGCCCAAAGAGCAGCCTTCAGCTGTTTGATACCCTCCCAGGTGTCCAGCATCGGGGAGCGGACCGTGTAGCTGAGGTCAGGAACTACACTCTGGAGACAGTCCATAGGAGGTT